GCTATAACAAAAGTATTATGTTATACGGACAAACCTTAATCAAACGAGATATTTGTTTATAGGAACTAAACAGTTTTGTTGGGCATGTTTTAACCAAATTATTTTGTTGTTACAACAAAATTTTGGTTCACGCAACAATACATCTTTTCTAGTGCGGAAGAGGCCCTGCCTGACGCCTAAGCGCATCCCGAGCGCAAAAAAGATTTTTCAAGATTTTTTAATCATACCGCAATCAAAAACAAATTTTATTAGTTTTATCAGTTGCCATATTCATTAGCTTCTTCCAAGGATTTTTCTAATATTGCCTTCGTTTTGAAATGCAGCAAAATTTAATAAAAACAGTAGCAGGATTTTTATATGTAAAGAATGCTATATATTTTTAAAATAAAAAATTCTTGTTGCACACTAACAAAGTTATAAAGCGATAAAGGAATTATAGTCTAAATTTCTTAGAATGAAAAGAACGAATATTTTTATTCAAGCAAAAATAAAAATATTTCCTTATTATACCTTATTAATATTGCCTTATAAGGAAGAAGGTTAAACCATTTGTTACATATTTTGTAGGGCCCTTGTCTTTCTATCCTTACTAAAGCTCGATTAATGTTAGAGAAAAATAATCAAACCCTTACCAGAGCCCTATTAATTTCTTCACTCGGGAAACGTAGAAGGGAGCCTTGAAAAGCGGTACACGCATCTCGTAGGCTAATAAAATACCAAACGAAACACTTTCGCGCATTTTGATCTCTCACATAGTCGAGAGACTCGCTTTATTCCTTTTATCATTCTGGACAGTGGCGGGAGACAAGTAAATTTCTCGACGCTGTAAGAAACGAAGTATCGACGCGATTTCGTCCGATCTTATCACGCCGCGAAGCTCGCGCGCAGCCTTTTAAAAACTCTTTGCCCTCTTCAATCGGACACATTCCCCTCCCTGCGATTTCAATTCCTCAATTCCCTCCGCGCGTCCAATTATCCTCGCATCGTCCCGAAACTCGCGGCCCGTCTCTCTCTCTCTCTCTCTCTCTCACTCTCTCTCTCTCTCTCTCTCTCTCTCTCTCTCTCTCTCTCTCTCTCTCTCTCTCTCTCGGCGAATAAGCGTCTTGTGAATTTCGGGCCGATATTCAGAGCACTAAACTTCCTCGATTAAAACTGGTCGGGTCGAAATCGCCGCTCGCATAAAAAATCGCCCGGCGAGATTTCTCCCAAATGCTCGCGCGCGCGCGATATTCGAGGAACAAGCTGGCCGCCCGAAAAGGCGGCGACTCCAGCGCCGCCGTCTAATCGACCTCGCGGATTCCCGCGAGTCACTTCCCGCGGCTACAAATTTGGCGCGAGACTTTCGCGTCAACCCGGCCGGCCGGGCTCTTCGTCGCGCATATACCGAACGCGTAAAACGCGCTTTCTCCCCATCTAAGGACATTTGCCTGAAAAGCGCCTTGCGCCCGCGTTTCTTCCCCTTCCTCCCCCTCCCCCTCCCACCCCCGCCCGCCGCGGGCGTTTCGCACTGGCGAGTCTCGCCGGGTGAATTTTCTATTTATTAAATACACAAGCGCGGTGCGCGATCAGACGCGCAGGAGCCGCCGCCGCGGCTTCCGGTGAGAGCTCGCCACTTGTCGCAGCTGCCGGCCGGCACGCACGTGCACGCATATTTGCGTGAGCCCTTTATGGGCGTGAAAGTCGTCGATCACCCCGCATGCGGGGTCCTGAAAGCGATCCTGCAGATCCGGTATGAACTATCGATCAATTCGCCGGCATTTTTTCCTTCCTCGCTTCTACGCCCCGCCCGAGAATCGCGATCGCGATCGTTCGCGAGAACGCCGCGCGGAATCATTCCTAACCGGTGCAACGGCGCGGAAAAATATTTGATCAGGCGAGTCGAGAGACTCTCCTCGACGCGCGGCGGATTTCGATCGAGCGGAGTGTAAATAGAGCGCGAATTAAAAGTCCCGTCGCCGCGCGAGCTGAACGACGAAGCGTATCCGCTATTCGAGGCGCGAGGAGTCCCCCCCCCCCCCGATCGTTCTTCTCCGTCGAGGAACATCTGTCTCGACAAGAATGCCGACGACGGAGCAAAATTTATGTGGGAATTATTATTACCCGCTAAATTCCGAGACGAGATTTCTCTCTCCTAGCGAAGCGAGCGCGGCCTTCGCCGGGCGACGAGAGTTCGTGTCGTTTCGCGGGGGGGGGGGGGAGGGGGGAAGGAATTTACACGCGGCCCGCTTTCGGCACGTCACGCGCGACCTGTCTCGGGCTTTTTCACGGCCGCGAGCGGATGATCGAGGCGGCTCGATATGCGAATCAGAGCCGACGCCACGTATTCTCAGGTCGAATCGCGGCGTGCACTCCTCTTTTGTCGTTTCATTCAAAGCGCGCGAACGAGTCTCACCTCGGCCTGGAGGATGGGTCGCATAATTGATTCCGGCTCGCGTCGAAACGCTTTCAACTCGCTCGCGCTCCTCTTCCTGCTCGAGCGTGACCCAATAATACCCTCCTACTCAGCGATTCACGCAGATTGATCTTTACGATCGCCGGCGCGGCGGCCCGTAGATTCGCCCGCGCTTATTTCGGAACGGCTGAATTTAATCCACGTGGCGCGCGCTCGCGTATATTTCGTGATAGCGAAGAAGACGCGTCGGCGAGCGAGCGGGATCGTAGGTCATCGCACTCTGACAGCTTATTCACGGATACGCGCGACTACGAGCGCGATGTGCGCGTGAAATAAAATATGTGTGGGAGTCGGAGGACGAGGAGAAAAAGGGAGAGAGAGAGAGAGAGAGAGAGAGAGAGAGAGAGAAGATGAAGGAGCGTTTTTAAGTTACAATTTGCAAGGTGAGCTTGTTCCATCGCGGAACGAGACGACTCGGCAACGCAGAGTTGTCTCTCTCTCTCTCTCTCTCTCTCTCTTTCTCTTTCTCTCTCTCGGTCGTCGCGACAACTCTCACGCGCAACGATAATAAATTACGCAATAACAAGTAATGTTATAACGCGATACGCGGCATTTCCCGCAGATAAATAACACGACGACGACGAATTGCGGTGAATAACTCGGAGGGCGTGAAAATTATCGACACGCACCGTTCGCGGTGAACGACGGGACGTTGCGACAGCACATTCGATTGCGCAGTTCGACGCGCGCCCGCGCTTCCCGATGTAATTAACCGCGGATTTATCCCCGTCACGCGACAACCGAGTTAATTGCTATTCCGTCGGTTCGGCAGGTCGTAGGAATAGCGCGCGCGCGCTCTCGTCCTGCGCATAGCAATGACCATATGTGCAAACGTGTCATAAGAAACAATGCGCGGCTCAAATATCGGCGTGTCGTTGGCGTAGATCGCTAGCGAGAATATCGATGAGGAACGGTCGTGCCGATGCAAGCATGAATCTTTGTTTATTTCTATCTTGGCTTCTTGTGCATTTAAAGGGGGAATTACACGCGGGAGGCTGTTTTCGAAGCTATTTTTTTTACCGAATTTTTTTAATAGAAACGGTAAGATCAATGGACTTGAAATTTTCACAGTGTATTCATTAAAGTTCAAAGTATAAAATAAATTTTATTGAATCAACACGAGAACTGATCCAATTTGTAATTATAGATAAAAACGCAGTCGTCCATTTACGAGCTCTATGTTTGCTGTCGACATAATTCCGGGCCTCTCTCACTACTTTAAAACCAAAAATTGAGAAAGATTTGTAAAATATACGGTCGCCATTATAGCCCGTATCAAAATGAAGACAGTGAAGCCAAATTTGGAAAAATAATGACTGTAAAAAAAGAAAAAAGTATCGAAAATGAAATTTTTCTCAACTTGTAATCATATTTAAAAAAAAAAAGGACTAAAATATATAACTGTGTTCGAGGTAGGAGCAGAAAACTACATGTCTACTGTATATTGTGTAAAAATTCAAATTATTCAGTTCAGTAGTTTTTGCATAATCGTGTCGACGGTTTAAGAAAATGGTGTTTTCAGAATAAACGCGTTTAAAGTTACATGTATACTTTCCAGATAGATAGTAACAAATTTATTTATGAACATTTGAACATTAATGAATAAAACGTGAAAATTTCGAGTCCATTGATCTTACCGTTTCTGTTAAAAAAATTCGTAAAAATAGCCTTAAAATTCCGCATGTAATTCCCCCCTTAAGCTTATCATTCTGATCGTTTTATCTGTCCGTCTCATCTGAATCCATCGACAGAAAGAAAAATATCTGGACGGAGCATTTATTATTAATTTACGACTTTTCCAATTAGATTAGTTTTAGATCGTTTGCTTGTCCAACGCAGATACATCGACTCGCGGCAAGTTTCGGAAAGCCAGTTGGTAAGCCAGGAACACGAAGGACGAGAGAAGGCCCACGCGAATGACGACAACGAGATAACTTACGGAGCGACGAGCTTACAGAGGCGCGTTTAATTTATAATCGCTCTCCGTCGTGATATTATAAGTTGAAAAAGAAACATCTCTCAGCCGCTCTGTCGTCTCTAAAATTCCCTTTAACTGCGATCCCCGTCTCTGTGTGAGATCCGGCCCGTTATTTCCTTCCGAGATCTTTAAATCTTCGAGGGGCTCCTTTGAGGGGTTCTTAAGGAGCACGATGAGAGATGCGACGAGCGTCCCGAAAAAGGATTTGGATGTATAAGACCCAAAGAAAACGAGACCGAGATGCCGCGGGAAAGATAACAAGGGGTACACAAGAGTAACACGGGATCAAATCCTTTTCCTTTCTTCTTTCTCCGCGGATCTTCTCGGTCGAAACTGCGCGAAATGTGCGAAAGGTCGAGCTTTTCCTCAATGTTCTATTCGATATTCTTGATATTCAGCCGCTGTTAAAATCCCAGCTTCGAGCGAGATCAATTCGAGTACTCGCTCGCGCGGGGAGGGGGGGGAGTGAGAAGCGGGGGCGGGGTGGGAAGGGGGGGGGACGCATCCGTCAACCCTCGCACGCTTCGTACCGCCGGCTACAATTGGAGAGATTCTATCTTGTGTACTCACGCTTTTGCTGTGGCTCGTGCTGTGATGATGCGCGTGATGCGTGTCGAGTTTCATATTGGCGCAGCGGTTAAGGGCGTGCAGTCGCCGGAAAAGGCTCTGCAGCGAGTCAGCCTCGAGGAAAGGGTGGTCCTTGGCCACGCCGGAAACGTCAATCGGAAACTGATAGTCTGCAACGAGAGGGTAAAACGATCGTTAGTTCTAATCGGACCCGAGACTCGGCTCGCTCGCTCGGACACGCGGCCATGTAATGGCGTATCTATCTATCTGCCTATCTATCTGTCGCGGTCGCGTGCTTATTTATGCAAATGAAAAGTGCATCGTGGTGTACTTGATAACGCGTGAAAACATCCGCTGTTTCGCCGTCGCCAGCGCGACGCTCGCTCGCTCGCCGCGGCCAAGTATTCAGGATCATTTGATTATCGAATGGGCTAAACGCGCACAAATGTGCGCCGTGAATGGACCCAAGCCGTGTCCACTTAGCCCACGGGCATTAATCTCCTCGTAAACCCGTCGGGCCCATCAAATGTTGACCGTGTGTGTCCTCGTCGCGCGCGCGCGCGCGGCCACTCTCCGTCTATTCCCCCCGCCCCATCCCATTTTTTTATTTCCTTCCTTTCTTTTTTTGCGTCGGACAATAGTCGTCGTTTAAATTCAATTAAGGGAGTTAAAACGCGCGCTTTATTTTTACATTTACGGACTGAGCTGGCAGCGGCCAGCGGGATGATACTGTTCCGCGCGCACAAAAGCATTTGATGTGATTTCATGAAATTTTCATCGGGAAATAAAGAGAGGATTACACCGGCCTGCAGAAATTAATGTACCGTGAAAATCGCCGGGAATGTCGCTCGTGGTGCTCGCAGAGCACGCTCGGGCTTTTGAGTGTTCGCGGTCGCGTGACCTCGAAAAATGAAAACCGTGAGAGCGATATTATTATTATTAACGCAAACGGGGATGTCGAAGCCAGTACGCGTGGGCCGCGTTTAACACACTGCACGCATTAAAAGTTGTAAAAGTTATTTCTCAGATTATTCCCGGTTATTAAGTCGTCCGACCAATCCTGTGTGTATCAAAACCAACATAATAACCCGCGTTCGCTATATCCAATATTTCTCGTTTCATGTTTTCCAATGAAAAAGAAAAGAAAAAAAGGAGCGAGCGAGAGAAAGAGCGAGAGAGAGAGAGAGAGAGAGAGATGAAGAGAAAAATTCATGTGGCTCGGAAATCGAAATTATCTCCTCCATGGTGGATTTCTCTCTCTCTCTCTCTCTCTCTCTCTCTCTCTCTCTCTTTCTCTGCGCTATCTATAATTCCCTCGTAAATACATCGCGGCGCTCGTAAAAGTTCGGGAGGTTTCTGTCACGACTTGCGCAACGCTGGCCTAGATCTCTTGAACCAGATCTCGGATCTATGATCTCTAACTGGGACCTCAGGATCGTCCGCTTCCGCAAGTGGAACGAGAATCCTCCAATATAATCGCGGCGGATATACCCGCGCCGCGCTTATATCGAATTTCCGTAAAAAGACGCGCCTTCGTCGCACGGCGATATTCTATGAGATATGTTAATCAACATGCGTTAATTACTTCATCGATTACTACTCATCGCTCGGGACAGAGCTCGTCGTCGTGACGATTCTTCATGAAGACTGAGACCTCACCGGCCGCGGTTAAACAATCAAATTCCGCCGGCTCGCCGGCAACTGTGAGCGTTTCGCGTAGATTCGTTTTCGCTCATTAAAGCGCGCGCAGAGGCAATTAATGAGAGCCCATCGACGTTACTCGGCAGCACACTGAGAGAAAAGTGTATGATATTTGGAACTATAATGATATAGTAACTAAATTATAGTCCGAAATATCATATTTATAGTAAGTATTACCATAATATCGGTAATAATTACGATATAGGCATAGTTACGATACAACCAACCATATGATATTTTTACTAAGAATTATAGTGAGTTAAACTAAAATTTTGGTATGAATGCAAATATAAAATGGTAGGTAAAGTAACTCTTTTATATAGTCAATATTACCAGAATATCTGCTAAATGATGACAGATGTGTAACTATATGAATATTAAATCTCACTATATTTGTGAATGAGAAGTTACCATATATGTGGTAAAAGTAACTAAACAATTATTTCAGACAATCATTGACTATACACTTGTGTTTATCCTACTATATTTTTCAGGTTCCACCAACTATAAAAATATGATTGACGCCAAAATGAACTATGAAATATAGTGAGATTATAGTTGATTCAACTATATTTTTCTATCAGTGCAGCGGATTAATTGGCCGGTTATCGGTTTTATAGTAGCGGTGTTACGCATCTCCTCCTCCTCCTCCTCTTCCTCCTCCGGACGCATACGTGTATGCGTGCCGTTAATACTTCCTGACGCTGCGAAAGCACCGGCGGTTTTTTCTCTCCTCTTCTCTTTTCTGTTTTTTTTCCTTTTTCTTCTTTTTATTTTTTTGCGAGTACGGTAAACCGCCGGAGCACAGCCGTGTTCAGCTCGAAACGGCTATTAAGTGCCGCGTAGCAATTTTCATTCCGGATTTACATTATCGTGTCCAGCGCCGTTGTACGCGCGACTCGCGCGACTACGCGCTGTACGCGTCATTACAGCGCGCTCGCGCCGTGTCCGAGGAGAGTCGCGCTCCTCCGTCGCGGAAAATTTCCGAGATCGACGAGAGAGACCGGACTCGAAGAATTCGTTGAACTCTCCTCGAGCGTGCACGCTGAAGGAGCACATAGATTCGCGATGTTTCGCGACGCGGCGTCGCGCGATACGCGAGCCGACTCTCGCTCGTGTAGAATGATGCTTGTGTTGACTCGACGTTATTCGATGATGAGCGATCTGATTCACCGCGCGCGCGTGTCTTTCGCCGACTGCGCGCGATCTCGCGATTCTTGGCCGATCAATGCGCTCGGTGATTGCTCCGTCAAGTTTTCACGACGCCGTAGTTGGAGCGATAGTTAACGAGCGGTGATCAGAGAGAGAGAGAGAGAGAGAGAGAGAGAGAGAGAGAGAGAGAGAGAGAGAGAGAGAGAGACGTCCGTTTCCTGGGCACATTAATCGTTAATGTCTCAATGGGAAATCGGAGCCGCGCGCAACACGAGATACGAGATGCTGACGAATCAATTGGCACGCGGCTTTCGATTTCACTCATCTGCATAGCGCGAAGCCGTCGATAAATATCGATCTCGACACCCGGCGGCCGCGTCGTACAGCGAGAAAAGACGCGTCTGTGCTGATAATAAATATCGGCTCTCGATTCGGACTCGAGCCTTTGTCGACGAGCCTTCTCTATTCTGCCGCTTGTGTATGTATGTGTATGTGTGTGTGTGTGTGTGTGTGTGTTTTTTGCGAAACATCGCTGCGCACCTTCTACCCGGCGTCGGAATGGGAATCAATCGATTTCACGGGCGAGCTTGAATTCGCGAGCCCGTTGTGCGTCGGGCTGCGGGAGACACAAAAATTCACTCGGCCGGCCGGCCGGTTTCATCAATTCCTCCGCATCGGGCCGGGTCCGGTGTGATCGATCGGATCACGTGCTTCATTTATCATGCCGATCGTCAGACACGACACCCACACACTCGCGTCGTCGGGATTCCACGAAGGATGCGCGCGCGACCGACCTGGACACCCTCTCCTTGGCCGACGCGCGACGGTAATATCGTCGCGATCGCGTGCACGTGTGCGTATGTGTGCGTGTGTTTGCGCTCGTTGTGTACACGCGTGCATGCGAGTCGCGTGGTTCTCGTACGTATCCGATGGGCGGTATCGGTATCGTATTTATATCGTGCCTTGCGCCGTCCGACTCGGGTTCAACTGGGTCAATTAGCTACTATTCATAGTGTGTGCTCCGATCGCGAGAGCTCGCCTGAGTTATGATCAATCGCGCACTTTGTACGTGATATCGCCGACACACGCGTGCACGCATATTTATGCATCTATGCGCGCACGCGTGTGCGTGTGCGCGTGTATACGAGGGTGCACGCTGCGCACACACGCAGACGCGCGTGCATAAACTCGCGCATGACTCGCCGATGGCTTGTCGATGGATCGGAGCTGTTAATACGATTCGAGAGCACACGAGTGTAAAAGAATGACCGCTGGGAGTCACGGAAGGGTGCGGGTGATCGTTTCTTTGCGGGAAGGTGATGACGTAGCGGCTGTCGCCGGCCAAAATTAATTCTCACCGCTTGGATACATCCGCCTTGCGAAAAAAATTACATCTCGAAGAGAGAAGTGATTGTCAAGTAATCGTTGAGCAAGATTTTCATGGTGAATAATACCAGGCGAGCGTGTGAAAAGTGATAAAATTGGTACGCGTGAACGCGAATTAAATTTTTTTTTAACAGCGTACGACACCAGAGGAGTAATTTGAAAAATTGAAAAAAATCATCCGATAATCCCAAAAATAGCGAAACAATACGTACCAGACTCAGTCGAGCTTCCACAGCGCGACAAATATTAACCGCTTAAGGTAAATGTCCTAATTACTGGACGTTTAAGCGTAGGTTGTCACAAAAAATACAATGTATAATATTAAGAATAGTTTTGATACAAATATTTGCATTTATTTTCGAAAATTTAAGATTCCCTTAAGTAGAAAAAAATGATTTAAACCAATGTATATATATTATTAATGAAATGTTTACACGAGAGAATAAAACGCATTAATGTGTAACGCATAAATACCAGTGACTGGACAGTTGAAATAGATTATAGCCCAATGCTCGGATAGAATTTGTCCCAATGTCTGACCGCGATTAGAAAATTAGTACGTGCTGTACGGGGAATAATATAAATATAGATGCTATCTCTTAATGAATTTATTAACGATTGATCATTTTTTGCCAAACTATACACTAGGAAAAATGTATTGTTGCGTGAACCAAAATTTTGTTGTAACAACAAAATAATTTGATTAAAATATGCCCAACAAAACTGTTTAGTTTCTGTAAACAAATATCTTGTTTGATTACGGTTTGGTCGTATAACGTAATACTTTTGTTATAGCGACCAAAAAGCTTCAACTATATGAGTTTTGTTAAAAATACTATAATTTTTTCTTAATATATGAAACCTAAATTTTAGTACACAGAAAGACAACATAGCGTATCCATTGGACATTATTTCAGTTTATGTAAAATAA